CTGTCCCTATCACATATCATAGACTATTGTTTCTACATAAAATCAATTCTAATGATTGTAGGCAAGAAAAAGTAAAAATTTTTAGATTTTTAAAGGTTCAGATGTTTGGGGTTGGCACATTTTAAAAAAAGTATCTTCTGCTCACCAAGGCTGTGTTTATTTGATCAAAAATACTTTAAAAATAGCAAAATATTATTACAGTTTAAAACAGCTGTTTTCTATGTTCTATGTATATCTGTTAAACGCAGCTGTATTTTCAGCATCATTCCTCCAGTCTTCAGTGTCACATGATCTTCAGAAATCAGTATAATATGCTGATCTGCTGCTCAAGAAACATTTCTGATTATTATCAATGTTGAAAACAGTCGTGCTGCACAATATTTTTGTGGAAACCGTGATACATTTTATTTTTCAGGATTCACAGATGAACAGAAAGTTCAGAAGAACAGCATTTTGTAACTTTATTAATGCAGTTTCTGTCAAAAAAAGAAAATGTACCGATCCCAAACTTTTGAACACTAGGTTAACATCTTCATCCCAAATGTCTCCCAACTAAGATTTTGATATATTTAAAGAGGTTATTTTCCCCTCAAACTAAAACTACAAGCACACAATCATTCAGCAGGAGTGTCAGCAAAACACAAACCTGAGAGAAAAGCACAGCACAGCAGAACCTGAGTTTGCATGAACAATGAAATGCATGCTGCAAAACTGCCAAAGCTTGTGCATCCAATCAACACATTATACACCCAGACCAGTCTAAACTCCAGAATGCACTGAAATGGCCTTAAATTAGATGAAAGGGCAAAGACGGAAGAACGTCCTTCTGCAGATGTGGCTCGTCTGGGTGCTTCTTACCTGCACAAGCTTCAGCTTGAGTCTGTGTTACTCGGCAGATTTAAAGTCTCTGTGAGTGCAGCTGTCGCATCTCTCAGCTCTTAAAGCAGCCACGCTGGACTGGACTGGACCGGACTGGATTGGAGCAGCAGTGCTGAGGTCACAGTATTTAAGCGTCTGCGAGACTCAGCTGTGAGGTTCTGGATCAGAGTCCAGCTGCTGCAGCTCTCCAGTGGGATGAGGGTGAGCTGAGCTCTGTTGTTAGTGCTTTACAGACAGACGCCTCTGAGCCTCAACACAC